TTTTAGATATTTCAAAAACATTAATGTATGATTTTCATTATAACTATATGATTAAAAAGTTTAGTAAAATCAAATTATTGTATACAGATACGGATAGTTTAATATATCATATATTTACAAATGATTTTTACACTGATATAAAACCTGACCTTTCATCATACTTTGATACCTCAGATTATGATACAAATAATATTTTTGAATATCCAAAATTAAATAAAAAGAAATTAGGTTTTTTTAAAGATGAAAATAATGGTAAAATCATGAAAGAATTTGTGGGTTTACGATCCAAAATGTACGCTTTTAACTTAGAGAATAAGACTATAGCCAAGGCAAAAGGGGTAAATAAATGTATCACTAAAAAGATGACAATGAATAGTTATAAGTCTTCTCTATTTAATAAAAAAGTGCAATATTATAGTATGCTTAGATTTAAATCAATTAAACACACAATTTTCACACAAAAATTAAATAAGATAGGTTTATCATATAATGACACAAAGAGACATATTTTAGATAATAATATTGAAACATTAGCTTGGGGTCATTATAAACTGCGTTAAGTGTTGATAGTTTTTACTTTTATGTCTGCGTTTAAGAAAAATTTATATTGATTGTAAAATTATGATAATACTATAATATGACGTAGTTTATTACATATTTAATCATTGTTTTATTGTAAATAATTTAAGTTAATTGTTGTTTCTATTTATTTGAGGTTGAGTTAATTGTAAAATTATGATGTACTAATTGTTGTTTCTATTTATTTGAGGTTGAGTTAATTGTAAAATTATGATGTACTAATTGTGTTAGAAATAGTATACAGATAATTCTGTTTTATATAATTTTTGGAATATATATTAATTGTTTACACCAACACTTTCATTTTTTATTTCACCCCTTTGAACTTTAGACGTGTGTTATGTTTCACTTTATCCATCCGTTCACTGCTATTGTGGCAGGACCAAGTGGGTGTGGGAAGTCAAATTTTGTAACAAATTTCATAAAATCAGTTACAGAAATATGTAATTGTGATTTTAATCAGATAACATGGTGCTTTGATGAAATGCAACCATTATATAATTTACCAAATGTTAACTATCATCAAGGAATTCCAAATCTTAATATGTTTGATGGTGAAAACCCACATCTTGTTATTATTGATGATCTAATGAGAGAGTCCGATGGAAGAATTGTGGATATATTTACAAAAGGTAGTCATCACAGGAATCTTAGTGTATTTTATCTAACACAAAATTTATTTCATCAGGGTAAAGGACAAAGAGACATATCTTTAAACTCAAGTTATATAATATATTTTAAAAACCCTCGAGATAAAACTCAAATAAGATATTTAGCAAGACAAGTATCACCAGATAACCCAAAATTCATTGAAAATGCCTACAGGGATGCAACTCTAGAGGCGCATGGATATTTAATGGTAGATTTAAAACAGAATACCAATGATTTTTGTCGTATCAAGACAAATGTCTTTCCATTTAATGGTTTCCTTACAGTCTACGTCCCCACAAAAGAGTTTAAATACACCAAGAATCAAACAATTGAAATCATTGCTAAATGATGCATCGTCGACTCACAACGTATAAACATTTGCTAACCGCTTTGCATACGCTTAAACCAAAATATCAAAGAGCATTACTTAAAACGTGTGATGAAGAAGAAATTAACTGTATTTGTGAGTGTATTCATAACGTTTTACAAGGAAAAGTACCTCTTAAAGATCAGGATAAACAAAAATTGAATAAACATAAAAACATACTCCGTAAACTAGTACGTAAGTGTAAACATAAACTAAGAAAAAATATAATTATACAAAAAGGAGGGGCTTTCTTACCAACAATATTAGGTGCAATATTGAGTGGATTAGTGAGTGGACTAGCCAGTTAACATGGAAAATGCAAAGAAAATGATACTTATCGAACCTGGATTGATTGAAAAATTAAAACAAGAAAATAAGGTTAATAGTAATTTATCTCGATTAGATATTGAAATGCAAAATATTATGAATAGTAAGACGGAAGACCGAAAGAAATGGATATTATATTTACAAACACTGCAAAGATACCTTCATTTTACCGAAGAGGATCGTCAACCACTCAAATTACCAATTAATTCTGATACATCTAATGAAGATTCAAATGAGTCAAAAATTGGTTTTAAAAATAAAGATAGAGATCTAAAAACTTCAGTTGATATTGAATCTTTGCTGGAGGAGAATCGATCCATTAAAAGTAAAGAAAATGATGAAAATCCACTTTACACACCAGCATACTCAGTTTAATACCAAAAACTTATCATAAAAAAGGGCAGTTATTATTAAACTTAGTTGAAACAAGTAAAAGTAAAATACATTGGGATAACGAAGGTACAGTCATAATTGATAGTGAAAAAATTCCTGGAAGTAATATTGTTGATTTAATAAATGATTCACTAAGACCCCTAAAAAGAAGTGATCCGGTAGGGTGGGTTAGATTTGCTGAAGCATTAAAAGATATTAAAGTACCACTTACTTATATTGGAAATCCAAGGAGATGTGAGTTTATTAACCAACTTCAAGCAAAAGATCTGAACAAACCCTCTGAGATTGAAGTTCAAGAGTTTTCTACACCGTGCAGTAGAGATAAAAAGTCTACAACTAAAATACGTAAAGGACTTGAGTGGGAAAAATGGACTCCGTACTAGAAGAAATTAACAGGATTTATTATGATCCATCTAATCCCGCTGGTTTTGGTAGTATTGATAAATTATCAAAAGCCATGAAGGGTAAAATGAATAAAAAGCAAGTAAAGGAATGGTTAAAATCACAAGAAACATACACATTACATAAACCCATTCGAAAAAAATTCCCGCGTAATAGGTACATTCTATCAAATATTAATGAACTGTGGCAAGCTGATTTAAGTGATATGCGAACTTATTCTCAATATAATGATGGTTTCAAGTATATACTTTGTATTATTGATGTATTTAGTAAATATGCTTTTGCAAGACCAATGAAAAAGAAAAACTCAGAAACAACTAAAGAATGTTTTGAAAGTATATTTACTGAAAGTAATTTAACACCTACTCACATACAATCCGATAAAGGTACAGAATTTGTTTCAAAAGATGTACAAAAATACTTTAAATCCAAAAAGATTAATTACTATACCACTAACAATCCTGACATTAAGGCCAGTATTGTTGAACGATTTCAAAGAACACTAAAAATGAAAATGTGGCGTTATTTCACTCATAATAATACTTATAGATATATAGATGTTTTACAAGATTTAATATACTCTTATAATCACAGCTTTCACTCTAGTATTAAGATGTGCCCATGTGATGTAAATTCCAACAATATTATGACAGTTTGGACTAATCTTTATGATAGACGGTCAAAAAAACTTTCTTTAGAAAATCCTAAACCAAATTTCAATGTGGGTGATTATGTTCGAATAACTAAATATAAACATGTATTCCAAAAAGGATATGAATCAAATTGGAGTGATGAAATATTTATTATATCTTCAATAATTGATAGATCTCCATGGGTTGTTTATACAATAACAGATTTACAAAATGAACCAATAATTGGTACTTTTTATGAAAGAGAATTACAGAAAATCACTTATAACCCCACCTCACAACATAAAATAGATAAAATAATTGACACTCGTTATTCAGGTAACAGAAAAGAAGTATTAGTGAAGTGGAAAGGTTATCCAGATAAATTTAACAGTTGGATTTTAGCTTCTAGTTTAAAAGAAATATGAATAAAGAAAGTTTCTATTTAACTTTGCTCAGCAATAGTTCAATGGAATACTTTCCTGATAACAAGACCACAAATTTTTCAACGAAATTACCAAAAGCTATAAAATTAGAAGGTGAATGGTCGGTTGGAGTTGTCGAGTTTCAATATCCATGTACCATGTTTACTGTTCAAGACCATGAAAATGTTATATACATTACAAAATCTATGTTAATGCCTAATGAAGATAAGCCATCCACAGTGTACTACAAAAAACATATTCCAGCTACCAACTATGATAACGTTGAGCATATTTTAAGAGTGTTAAATGGTATCGGAGAGAACTTGAAATTTCGCTATGATGAAATAACAAAATTTGTGTCTATTTCGGTATTGGATAAAAATATAACATCCGTAACATTATCACCCAAATTAAGTTTACAGCTAGGTTATGAACCAAATAAAAATCTCCTAGAGAGAAATTTTGGAAAGTGTCCTGCTAATTTACACTTAGGGTTACCATCTCAACTATTTCTATATTGCGACATTATCGATCCTCAGATTGTGGGTGATGTTATGACTCCTTTATTAAGAGTCATTTCATTAGATCCTACAAAATACATTTATGGTGCAAATAAAATGCACGTTTTCTCTCAACCTCACTACTTACCTGTTATGCGAAGAGAGTTCGATACGTTGGAAATAGTTATAAGATCGAGTACAGGACAAAAAATACCATTCCAGTTTGGAACCGTGTGTATTAAACTACATTTCCGAAAATTATAATAATGAATTCTCTTCGTGATCATCATAAATGTCCATATGAAAATTATTATACACATCAAGCTGGATCAGGAGTTGGAGTAATTTATAAGGGTTCACCATATCAACGCGGTCATGGTATTGGGAGCTTCTTAGGGGGGTTATTCAGATCAGTTTTACCTTTACTTTCAAGTGGTGCTCGAGTGATTGGTAAGGAGGCATTAAGCGCTGGAGTAGGACTTTTATCGGATATGGTTCAAGCCCGTCCTATGGAAGCCTCAATAAAAGATCGTCTAAAGCAAGTTAGTACGAATTTAAAACGAAAGGCTGATGAGAAAATTGATCAATTTAACATGACTGGATCTGGGTATAAAACTAAAAGAAAACGATTGACATCGTTCATTCCACCATTAACTGCTAAAGTGAAAGCTGCGAAAAAACTTAGTCTAAAACCAAAAAATATCAAAGATATATTTTCAAACTAAATATGTCTTTCCTTCATAATCATTCTTGCGAGTGCGTTAAGTCAGAATTGGATTTGTTTGCACTACCGTCTACACAAACTAGCATTGAAAATGGATTGTGGATTCATTATAAACCAATTTCATCTCTTGGTGATGATGGACCTATCGAGTTTCAAGTTCCTGGGACCGGCGATGACTACATAGATTTGTCTCATACATTACTCCACATAAAGGCAAAAGTATTAAATCAAGATTCAACTAACTTGGTATCTACTACAATAGTAGCACCTGTAAATAATTGGCTGCATTCACTTTTTAGTCAACTTGATGTTTATTTAAACCAAAAACTTGTATCACCACCTAATAATACCTATGCATATCGAGCATACATGGAAACCCTTTTAAACTATGCCCCTGCTGCTAAACAATCTCATCTTACTTGTAGTCTTTGGTATGAGGATACAGCAGGAAAAATGGATTCTACAGATGGTAAAAACATAGGATTTGTTAAAAGACAGGAATTGATTAGTGAAAGTAAGGAAATAGAAATGATTGGTCATCTTCACGGTGACATTTTTAACCAAGATAAATTTTTAATTAATGGTGTTGAAATGAGTGTTAAATTGGTTCGATCAAGAGAGAGTTTTAATTTAATTGTTGGGTCGAACGATGTAAAGTTTAAAGTTTGCATTACGGACGCAACTCTTATTGTTCGACGAGCACGAATTAATCCAAGTGTATTACTCGCACATCAAAAAGTTTTAGCTTCTACCACTGCTAAATATCCTATTACTCGAGCTGAAGTAAAAGTTTTAACAATTCCTTCGGGTGTTCAAGGAAAAACTCTTGATAATATATTTTTAGGACAGGTACCGAAAAGATGTATAATTGGATTTGTGAACAATTCTGCATTTAATGGTTCCCTTACTAAAAATCCATTTAACTTTGAAAACTATGGTATTAATTCTTTCAGCTTATATATTGATGGTCAACAAATACCTTCAAAAGCTTTGCAACCATCTTTTAATAATAGCATATTTACATCAGCATATCATACTCTATTCTCGGGAACTGGTATTCACTTTCTTAATGAAGGAAATGGAATCTCTTGTGAACAGTATGGCAAAGGTTACTGTCTATTAGCATTTGACTTAACTCCTGATTTATCAGCTAACTCATCAACTCATTGGAATCTCATAAAGCATGGTAGTGTAAGAATAGAAGTACGATTTGAATCCTCATTAATACAAACAATTAACTGTATAGTTTATGCTGAGTTTGATAATATTATTGAGATAGATAAAAACAGAAATGTTACTGTAGACTATAGTAGTTAAGGTTATAATATGTGTTGTGTGTTAGATTTTATGTGTTATGTGTAATGCATTTTGTGTGTATGTAACTATGTGAAACGTTATAAAATTAAATAAAACAAATTGTATGCAATATATTTTTTTTATTTCTTTATAAATCTTCTATTTAATCTAATACAAAACACTGTTCGAGTTGAAATTTTACATAAGCACACTGACTAAACCACTGAACATGCTGCTGCCAAGGATCATCATCATCTTCCCAATCTTTTAAACCACCACCACAATGGAAACACTTGGTCCCGTCTGCATGGCCAGTATAAAAGAAACCAGCTTCTGCAAGATCTTCAGGTTTCTGTCGCATAACTAGAGGCCAGTTTTCGAAACTAAGCAAACGGCTAGATTTTGAACTGAAGAATGGATATTCAGCTCTTGAGTACTGCATACTCTTCTCGTTTTCTTCTCCACTCAGTGTTGTAGTTTTGTTATTCAATGATGTGTTTTGTACACGTATGCCACACTCATCTCTTCCTTCCGCTCTTGTCTTCCTGTAATTGAAGTAAACAGAATCACATTCACTAATGATCAGCTAATGACTGTCATTGTTAAAAAAGTATTTTTTAACTTTTTCACTTTCTGCTATTGTCTTTGTTATATTGTATACGAGGGCGTTTGTGTTGTCGTAGATGCTATCCTTATTAGTCTTTACGTAATATTTAATTCTCGTGGAAGCATGTTTCCAATGATCAGTAGTTGGAATCTTGGATAGCTTCTTCATATCGTACATTTCAATTTTGATGAGATGCGTCGCTTGGTCTCCGTCATCAGAATTAGTAGAAATGTATGATACACCATCTCTAGCGGCTCGTGCTACGGTTGATGATAACAGCTTCCTCTTTTTTATTTTTGATTCAGCTTCAAAAAAATGATCAATCGATTGCGATTTTCTTTTTCCACCATCGCATGTGTTATTATTAATGACGAGGTCATCACTCTCTTCTTGAGGGGAGAGTGGCGAGTAGTAATACTGTTTATAGGTATCTTCATCGAAGCTCAATGATTTCTGCAACAACACAGTTATCATGTTAATATCAATTTGTTAACACTTAATCATAAAAGTTAAAAAAGTTAAAGTTACAGCCTATTAAAGTCCACTGCTGAACATAGGCCTCCTCTCATTTCTGAGAGGGTTTTAGAGCAAGGAAATGTCCGCCGCGCTCCCTCAATGTGTGTTGGCGAACTTCACATGCCTTCGAAATTTTCTCAGACATGCAGGTTTCCTCACGATGTTTTCCTTCACCACCAAGCACGTGGTAATAAGCACTTAAAATTGCTATTAACAATTTAATTGGTGCTGGCGGGGATCGAACCCGGGTCGCGTACTGTGAAATTTACAGCTAGCGCTAACCATCTGAGTTACCACGGCTTAATCATATACATACACAATATTTAAATAAAATAATACACACACATGAAAATAACAGAAAAAAAGTAATTTAGTTAATAGAATAAACACTTACATCCATAGCCTTTGGTGTATTGAAGTAACACAAATGTACTATTGATAGATCCACTGTAGCCAAACGACCGTACACTAACTCGATGACTGCGTTTGTTGGTCTTATATACCACCAGTACGTAAAAATTCTAATCTAAAGTATTTCCGTAATGAGTTGATAATTACTTTATGCGTCAACCAGTTTATCTCACATTTCCGTTGCCTATCTCAACATTTCTTCGTATTGTGTTTTGTTTGGTGATCAATGACTCAAGTACGATTTGTATAACACAAAAATGCAATTTAATATTTAGAAACATATCAGTTTATCTCACATTTCCGTTGCCTATCTCAACATTTCTTCGTATTGTGTTTTGTTTGGTGATCAATGACTCAAGTACGATTTGTATAACACAAAAATGCAATTTAATATTTAGAAACATATCAGTTTATCTCACATTTCCGTTGCCTATCTCAACATTTCTTCGTATTGTGTTTTGTTTGGTGATCAATGACTCAAGTACGATTTGTATAACACAAAAATGCAATTTAATATGTAGAAATCACTATAATTGACCATTCCTATGTTATTCATTGAGTAGCTAGGTACTGTAATAATCTACTAATAGCAGTAATATCATGGATACACTAGATGTACAACAACATCTGAAAAAGATTCACCCCAGTCTAGAAAATAATGTTTATGCAGCTAATAGACTGCCTATGTATACCCACGTACCAACGTATATAATATGTAATTTGGATACAGATGATAAACCAGGGTCACATTGGGTAGCTTTATATATCGATACGAATGACGTCGGTCAATATTTTGATTCATATGGACGATCACCTGTACGATATCATCTAGAGTTTTTAAAAAGGAATTGTAAAAGATGGAACTGGAATGTTGATAGGATTCAGAATGAGTGGACTTCAGTTTGTGGCGAATATTGCTTAATGTATTTGCTATATAAGTTTCAAGGATGTTCAATACATAGTTTTACGAGTATATTTACAAGGAACACATTGTACAACGATATTTTAGTGGATGAGATGTTTCGCTCCTATTTTATAGATAATAATTAATAAGATTTTGTATTTTATAAATAAAAATTGTAACAAAATTATGTAATGTGTTTTATTGATGATTCAGATTAGCGTTGTATAAACAAAGAACTATAACACAATAGCACTGATATAGTCGACGCACACGCTGCAATGAAGGTGATTAATTTTTTTTTTTTTTTTTTATTTTTTTTTTTAGGATCGGGCGTCGACGAACGTCTTTGAACCACGTCTGACTCAGGTGGTCTAGAAGTGGTACAACTACACTACTTCCGTCTGTCTGTCTGTCTGTCTGTCTGTCTGTCTGTCAAGACCCTTTTTCTCAGGAACGCGTGGAGGTATCAAGCTGAAAGCTGAAATTCATAACTAATAATGACTACAACTAAAATAGGTACTCAAGTCTACTGTCCCTTGGAGCTGTGAAAAAATCAAACTTCTAAGCCAACTCAATCAAAAGATACAGCCGTTTATGCCGCAAATTTTCGACATTCGCAAGGGAATCAAAACCTATATAGGGTATTTCTCGTGAACTCAGAATCTTAAAATTTGGTATGAAGCAACATTTTATAGTACAGATAAAGGAAAAATTGTGAAAAGCAAAATTTTTTAGTTACATCATATAACTAAAATATTTTTAATAATTTTAAATTTATATACCTACGGATATGTTCGGAACCCTCGGTGCGTGAGTCCGACTCGCACTTGGCCGGTTTTTTTATATAAATGTTCTAACAAGCGAACTTATAGTCCACTAGATGGTAAGTGGCTTCTGCATTTTTATGGACATCTGCAGCTGCAGCCAACTTCAAACAAAAAAGACTACAGACGGACTAAGATGGAATGCCTTACAGTCTGTAATTATACTCACGTTACCGTTTAACCGGAACACAGCAGAGCATTGTCTCCTATTTGATGCCACAAATAGGCACGAACGTCGATCGTCGACGAAAGAAAAGAAGAGCAGACCGACTCTTTGTCTTATTTCTTTGTGTTTTTTTTTGTGTATAGGATAAGGGTGACAAACGAGCACACAGTCCACCTGATGGTAAGTGGTTGCTGCGGCCCATAGACATCTACATCTATTCTCGTTTGCGAATCAAAATGCAGATGCGTTGTCACCCGTGAGGACTAAGATGGAATGCCTCATTTCCAGTAAAAAGGGCCTCCGGCCACCTGCACTCACCAAGCGAAACGCAGAGGTAAACCTCTACTTCACGCTGGTATTCTGTGAGGTCGTGGTACCACCCCGGTTCGAGCCGGCCCATCCGTGCGACAGCAAAAGCTGCCGCGTGGCTCTACCACTGTTAAAAATGGTGTTAATATTTTTTATGACTTGACAAGAAATCGCAACATTTCTGTCTGTCAACTGTTAAAACGACTAGAAGACGATCAATAAAATATACAAAAATTGTTTTTTATCAGAAATCCTTATGGATACAAACAAAACCACTCACCGAAGTAACATCGTAATCGAATTTATTTAAATTCCTTGGGCGAACGTCAAACTTGACAGATCCAATTACAAACTTATACATTTTTGATAAGTTCTTTATTCTGTGGGAACAAGTCATAAATATATCGCAATATTTACACAGTTTTGTGCATTGTAAATGTAAACATTAACAAAACATGTTGTGTAACTTATTTTATAAGACAAGTTTCGAAACATTAAAAGTTGAATGTTTTGGTGTAAAAACGCACGATTATAGCTACAGATATACAACATAATAACATAGCTAAATAACAATAAACATTTGCATGTCGGTGACGTAAACTCATAAAATTTTACATATCTAAAAATCGCTCAACGCGCTTAAAAAGTTTTTACTTAAAAAATAAATCAGTCGAACTTTTTTATAGAATAAAGGTGACAAACGAGCACTCAGTCTTCCTAATGGTAAGCGGATGCTGTGACTCATAGCATTTACATATATCCTCAATTGAGAATCAAAATGCAGATGCATTGTCACCCCTGAGGACTAAGACGAAATACCTCATTTCCACTAACGGGTTTAATTGTTCACCTACTCTTTTTTTTGAAGTCGACTGAAAGTAACATAACTTACCGTCAACTTGTTTGTTCACAGACGTTAAGAGAAGCGGTCGCGATGGCGGACACGGATACAGAGACGCTGCCCAACGGCAACGGCCCGCTCTCCAACAACGAGGCGGAGGAGGAACGACTGAAGCAGCGGCCGGCGGACATCGACGCTGTGAGTCACCTTTTGACGTGATCACGTCTTTGAACTTGCTTCCATAGTGGGAGGCAATTCAGAAAACTTATGATAACTAAATCGAGGCATACTAATTAAAACTTGTTTTTACGGATTTTATCGCGTATTAACTATATTAACTTATTTTATATTCCCGACGTTTCAAGGACTTCACAGCACCCATGGTCACGGGGGGACAGAGGTGTTTTACGTCTCAATGTCATAGTTAACCACGGCAACCTCCAGATAAAAATTATTAATTATTGTTCGAATCTACACAGTATGAACTTATAATATCTTGAAGTCTTGCAGTTGTATGCTTGGGTTGGGATTTAATTTTATTAATTATAGGATGCCAAGCAGATGGTAGCACCCAGCCATCTTTTCTATTGAAATTAGGATGTTTTTTGAAAAACCCACACGCGAGAAACCCGCATGTCTAAGAATGAAATATCTGGAAGACATTCGAAGTCTGCCAATACCCACTGGAGCAATGAAGCAGTAGAACGTATATAGGGTTTTCTGTGTTCTGTGGGCAGATATTATTATGGTTTTCTCAAAAATACGGATACCCTCGTACTGATAATGTTGCCTTAATGTGTTTCCAGTCTAATCACCAACTGTTTTATAATAGAATAAGGAAGGGTGTCAAACGAGTACAAAGTCTCCTGATTAAATGCTGTGATCCTGAATGTGATAGACATCTACATCTATCCACGAATAAGAATCAATATTGTTTCGCCATCCTAAAGACTAAGATGGAATGCCTCGTTTCCAGTAAAAAGGGTTTCCGTTTCACTACACTCACCATACGGAATATATCATCTTTAGTCTCAGAGTCCTTGTTTGTAGTTGGCTGCAGTTGTCTATGGTCAGGTGGACTGTAAGTTAGTTTGTCACTTCACTAGAATGTACATGAATTGTTAGAAGTATGGGGGTTGGGGGTGAGTAACAGTTTCGTTACTAAAAAGTGCATTTCGTGTTTCCAGGATGTCCGCGATATGGAGCGCCGGAAACGCGTCGAAGCGATCATGTCCTCGAAGCTGTTCCGTGAGGAGCTGGAGCGGGTGCTGGACCAGCAGATGCACGAGGGTAACGACGCGCCACTTCTGCAGCGCATACGGGAGATGGTCGGCAGACGGCTGCATACTGGTAGCTTGCGGGTGAGTTTCTTCAAGTTCATCAGCCCATAACTGTTTCTACCAAGCAGCAGTAACCCCACTGGCATTTGAAGACTACCAACGTCGTATCCTTGTCGCTGCCACTGTCATGGCTTCTCGTCGAAAGCAGGGAAGTGGTGTCCTAAATAAATAATTTAGTACTAGACTCTAGTCTACTTCACTAAGAGCGTTTATACAACGCCAAGACTCGTCATCTCTTCTAGTACATAATACATTTTACTTCAATTATTCATTGATCATCATCGTTATCACCACCAAAATCATCATCATCATCACCATTGTCTTTGTCATTATTATTCCACTCTTCTAGTACGTAGTGCATGTAGTAAATACCTTACGGCGATTTGGTCGTTTGCAATGCGCGTTGCTTATTTAGTCTGTGCCCAAAAAAGGTGATCCACTTTTAAATTTTGTTCTCGGTGTCTTTTCTGGTAGGTACATATTACTTCAATTCCATCGGTTGTGAATATACTTTAAATGTAACATCTATTATGCATCTATTTATTTATTTGTATAGATAATTAAGACAGTTAATACTCAGTATGTCGGTTAATAGGAGTTGGTGAGGTGGGTTATACCGTCTCACCTATCTGTCGGAAGCCATTGATAATTAATCAATCTTTAATAATTAAAAATAATTTTCTCCAGGGTCCCAGCTGCGTGCTGCCCATCAACGACATCCGAGGCATCGAGGGTATAGGCTACGAGAAGGGGGAGAAGATATTGCGTTGCAAGTTAGCCGCCGTGTACCGTCTCGTCGATCTGTTCGGATGGACGCAGAGTTAGTATGGCCCCAGGGTTTTGTTTTTTAAGAATATTTAATCACGTCAAGCGTACTCCGCTATGCGCTAAGCGCTCAAGCGTGCTATAGTTATAGTAGTATGCGATACAGTCCGATATTAACTATGGTTCGCGCGCTACTAGTTGGCCGCGCCTTAGGTAGCGAGGGATGAGGCGGGGGTTGCATAATGAATGAAAATTATGACGTACTGAGTAATAACAGCCTCGCTCTCCCGTCCCGCCGCTCACATACCCAAGACGCGGCCAACTAGTTGCGCGCGGACTATAGTCAAACAAGTGGTAAAATTAAAAATTTAGTACAACCGACTTGAATGTAAATAAAATGAGAACATCGTCTATGTAGTCGAAGTCAATTAAATACGCATTATTAAGGATAACTCAAACACTACCGTTCAGATCTTGATTAAATTTATATGGGACCACATGAAAAACACCAGCATTCAAATAAAAAAGAATCATCAAAAATTTTTGATGATTCTTTCAATTGATTTCGATGAAAAAGAATCATCAAAATCGGTTTACCTGCAAAAAGTTTTGAGGTAACACACATAAAAAAAACAAAAAAACCAGTGGAATTGAGTACCTCCTCCTTGAAGTCGGTAAAAAAAGGATAAGAGGTATAAGATAGAAACAGAGCCAACTTGTGAATATAACAGTAGGTAATTAGCGCTGTGCGACCTGAATTGCACTTTATTGTGTCGTAGCAAGAGTTGCTATTTATTTAAATGATTTTGAGGAGTGAATTATAATTTAATTTAATTCAAATTCTAGTTACGTATGTAGTGGGACTATTTTTCTATCCAGATGCCCGTCTTGGCGACTCTCATACCTATTTCGGTCACCAAGCAAAGATTAAGAGAGATATACAGTAAATAGTACATATTCCTTTTATAAGGGACTATGCTTCTTGCTTCTTATCCGGCGACGAAGGACCAAGAATATAATGGATCGAAGTGGACTGTATGAATTTACTATTGCAAGTGGACTGTATGACTGACTAATTACTACGCTAGGGGACTGCTCAAAGAAAAGATGGTACTGTAGAACTATACTGTATTCAAGTATTTACAAGGTGGCACTATTAACTATTAACTATATATATGGAGAGGGGTCTTCACTCTTCTGTGGAGTCTTGATTCTTCTTGATTTCTCTTGCTGTTTCAACTCTTCGAGTGCCGCTTCCGAAATGAACGACTCACAGACCAAAACGCCCTTCTTATATCCCGCAAGAGAGCGTCTTGGTTTGTGAGTAGCGTCGTAAGGCGATGCCGCGCCCTGATTGGTTGGCGACATCGCGTGATCTGCTGCCGGTGTGCGGGGTGCGCGGGGCGCAACCACAGAGTAAAGAGGACCAGAGGGGAAGCTTCCTAACAACGTCGAAAATCTATACCTATTCTGATAGGGTTGTCACCTGATGCATGTGAAAATTTTAAGGAAAAAATATAAATATTGTATAGCATAAGACATCATGTGTATTAATTATAGCTTATATTAATGTAACAACATATTTATTAATTGTTCGAAATCAAGAGTTTTGGTGTAAGTGGTGGTGGTGGTAGTTGTGGCTGTGGTGGTGGTAGTTGTGGCTGTGATGGTGGTAGTTGTGGCTGTGATGGTGGTCGTGGGCAGTGGCGGTGGTGGTGATAGTAATGGTGGTGATGGTGGTGGTGTTGATGAAGTCACTGTTGGTCCACTAGTGTGCACTACCATTACCTACGATACTACCACCTCCACCACCACTGACACCATCAGCAACACTATCCACCAACACCAACATCAGCACCACTTCCACCAACACTATCCACCAACACCAGCACCACTTCCACCAACACCAATCCCTGGCGATTGTATTCCAACCATAATGCAGTGGTATTTACCCCTGCGGTCGCGACTCGCAAAAAGTAACTTACATCCTACCCCAGGAAGCAACCTACCTCTATACTAATGTGGGTGGATAAAGTCACACATTTAGCCTTATTACGTAGAATATTCTGCCATCTACGACACTGTCAAAGTTAGACTGACTAAAGTTTCAAGTAAGTGAGATCGACATCATCACTCGGCGACGCACCTTTCTAACACATTCTCACTTACCTATCAATGTTATTACCTGGTATTATTGTATACGTAAAAAGGTACTTACTTCACTTGATCTCTCGGGTACAAAAAAAAGGAAATATCCTTATTTTCTCTAGAATTATTCATGCATACTATACAACTATTAGGCATTTTTGCTTATACAGAAAACTTATTATTTACCTATACAAATTTATAATAACTTAATTCTTAATTATTCTTATTAAAAAACTTTAATTTAATTTAATTAATAGAATCAGGCGTTACTTTGCGGAAATCCATTATATAAAAGCTTTTACAAAAACTTACTTCGCAAATATCCGCGTTATAAAATAAAATGATGTGTCTTACCTAGTATGAAGAAGCACCTCCCGCCCTCCATCAATTGCGTGCACTATCCCCGTCACCACTAATCCCAGCACCGCTACTCCCAACACCACTACACTAGGCAAGACACACCACTGACGATAATACGACACGTGTTTCGCCTCTACACGAGGCATCCTCAGGTGATATAGACTCTACGGTGGCTAACCGCTAAGTTTTATAACGCGGATATTTGCGAAGTAAGTTTTTGTAAAAGCTTTTAATCTAATTATTTAATAATTGCAAAAATACTTAATACATTAATTGATGTATAAAATATCGAAATATTTTTGGTCTATTTATTTAAATGCGCACGACTAACAGCCCTTTCATGGACACTCTGATTGAGCCGGCGCAAACCGATTTGTACCCTGACGGAGCGTCGGTGAACCTGTCGGTGAGAGCTCACGCACACATCGCTGCGCTATGTATGGGTGTATTCGCAGCGAGCCGTTTGTATGTAGCTTCCCCTCTGGTCGGTTTCTTTACTCATGTGGCGCAACGGGGTGTGAAGGGGCGGCGGCCTCCTTCGCTGTCCGCTACACCTTTATTAAAGTAACGTTCGCGACAATTCGTTTTATTACATACGAAGTGCATGTTAAATAGTTTTTATTAAAAATGAGACATCTTTAAGGGGTTCGTAAGTGGTTGAACTAGTATTTTGTTTTAAAGAGCGTATCTTCAACCGACTTCAAACAAAGTAGGCTACATACAGATGCTTAGTCGTGTCTGAGGACTAAGACGAAATGTCTCACAGCGTGTAATTATACTGGCTCTCCAACCCTTCAGACCACAACAAAGCAAGCATTGCTATTTGGTTGCTGTAATAGGTAAGAAGGTGGTATCTACCCAAATAGACACCTCGGCAAAAAAGGAATTCAATACTGCATTGTAGTGGGTGTTAATGACTGTTCAAAATTATTTTAACTAAGCCCACAGGCAGACAAGCGCGGGACGCGGTCGGCGTAAGTGGGAGGGGTAGTCACAGACAAACCTTCTGCTCGCAGGTCTTCCTAAGTTACGTTATATATATGGGTAAAACCACTCTTACCCTATATCAAATTGTATCTATGTATTGGATATCAAAATCTGATATTGATTTTGTATATATTTCAATATCTATGTATAGTTAAATATCTGATTCTGAACCTTTGTAAGAAAATCAGTATTCAGTGCTACACGGTGCCATGCCGTTTTTCAAGGATTTGGTTTGCTTAGA